GATAATATGTCAAGATAGTAGTTATAACTGTCTAGAACTTCTATCACTTTATACTTGACATAGTGATAATTCAGTGTATAAGATGAGTGTGTGATCTGTATATTCTTAAGATTCAATCACATCAGATCTTCTATCTTATATTGTTTGATAGAGTTTTAGTGAATATTGATTTGATTCTCTTAATCTTGTTCAGCACTTGGCATGAAGACTTCTACTCAGTCACAGATATCTCAGAGCTTTATTACTATATTATCAGTAATCTGAATCAGACTGTGAGAATTCAGTGTAAACTGTGTGATCTCTAGAAGATCTAACACTTTCATATAATAACTGTGTATAAGAAAGAACAGGCTTATATCTGTTGAGACAGCATCTCAGTCATTAATGATGATCTCTGTATGTAGAAGAAGATTATGTTAATCATCTTATAAGTGATTGCAGAACTTATGAAGATAATTCTTTACAGTCTGAATTATTCATTCTGATATATTATCAGTCTAAGAGTGATAAGCAGTTGATAAACAGTGTATAATCTTGAGAACTTGACAGATTCTTAGGCAGAGAGTACTCATGAATTGACAGCTTCAATTCAATACTATAGATCTCAGTAATTCATATATTTAATAGAATGAACTCTGTAAGAAGGCTTCCGTGACTTGTTCAGCATTCATCTTATCACAAAATTTTAATATTACACTCTTGCTCAATCAGTTAACAATGACTACAATATTTCTACAACTCTTGCTCTCAGAGAGACTAATAGTGAAGTCAATTACTACATCTTATCAGATTCTATCAGAGATATCAAGTAATTTCAGCAGGTCTTTTCTACAGTTCTTTCATAAAATAATAGAGTAATACCAGTTGCAGTTTCAGACAAAGCATCTGATGCTGTTTAATATCTCAGATCAATAGAATTCTCAAGAGATCATTTAAGACAGTTGTTTATAACTCAGATAATCAGTCATATATGAATCATGTATCTCTTATATTATTCAGGTGTGTAGAGGTTCTGAATAAGAGACTCGGTGTTATTTGTGAAATCAAAGAGTCTTATTATCATTAATTGAGCATTCTAAGATGTTGATTCTTATACATATTTCTGAGAAGAATCAGAGTGCTTCTTGACATACTACTTTAGTGAGTGCTTGAAAAAGGTCATCAGTTTGAGCTGCTGCATGTCATAATTCATTCAGTGTAAGTTTGAAAGAAGTTGAGATATTGATAATAGTTCAGAAAAAGAATGTTCTAATCAGAGAAGCATATATAATGTCATAAGTTATTTTATCTTGATCAACTAATATCTTCAGATTCAAGAGCTGATGCTCTTAGTTAATTCAGTGAGTGTCTGTTATATTGAATAATATATCGTACTCTCATCATGAGAGAGCATCTGTCATTGAGTTCTAGCTGCTGAGACAGTAGTGTATCATGAAATGAAAATAGCTTAATAGCTTAGATTATCATATCTGTTATTCAGTAAGCTTACAGATAATTATAAAATGCTTGAGATTCTTATAATCTGTGATTATCTTAAATTTGAAGACACTTCAGAGTTCTGAGTCTCATTCTTTTAGACAGTATATAATTGTGAGAAGTTTCTTGTTATAGATCTTATAATTGTATTTAACAGGACTGAGTTTCTTAGACATGAAGCTGCATAATTATAAGACATCTTTATTATCATATTATAATATAGCTTGTTCTATGACATAGTCAGAGAAATCAGCTTCAACAACTGTCTTATAATCAGAATCAAAGATTATCAGCAGAGAGATATTAATGAATATCTTCTTCATCTGTGTGAATGCAGCTTCAGTATCTACTAATCATTGAAATACTAAGTTTTTCTTGATAAGTTCTGTAAGTAATCTTATGATATCTGAGAAGTTTCATATAAATTGCTGATAGAAGTTAGTAAATTCAATAAAGCTTTATACACTCTTCACAGTACATGAGACTTCTCATTCAAGAATAGCAGAGACCTTCTCACAATTCATTCAGATCTTCTTATCAGCTTCTATGATAAAACCTAGATATTGTGTACTCTTGACTTTGAAATCACATTTGTCAATATCTATTGATAGTTCTGCTTCTTGTAGTCATTGAAATACTCTTCATTAGACTGACCATGTGCCCGTGTCTGAGACCAGGACCAGAATATTTGATAGTCTCATTATCAATTCAACTGATCTCATTACATGGTTTTAAGATTATATAGTAGTTTCATACTATCTCAGTGGAACTTACTGTCTACTCTTATCACATTTTTCAAATGAGACCATGATTTCCACTTCTCAATTTAAATTATTTTTATTGCTTTAAATGACTTTGAATCTCATTTAAGTGTTATCAAAAAGTGTTACTTTTAAAAAAATTAAAAATAGGCTTAAAAAAACCTTAAAATGTCTAAAAATAGTAAATTTTTTGCCAAGAATAAGACTAAAGATCAAATGAGACCACTTTCTTATTTTTTCTAAGTCATGATCTCATTTTGACATTTGATATATAGTCACTTTGCATGTTTTTTAATAATTAGTCTCAGTGGGATTCACATCAAGAAATGTATGAGATCAGATCAAATGAGATCAAATGTGAAATTCATGATTCCGGCGGCCAGTCTACTCTTCATACATGCTCTTGATACTCTTTTCTGAACTCATCAGTAAAGATGAGAATGTTATCAAGATAAGTAGATATAAACTCATTGTGGAAATCTTGAAGTGCTCAGTTGATATACTTCTGAAATGTACTAAGAGCATTGATCAGTTTAAAAGATGTGACTACTTATTTAAAAAGATTATATCATGTTCAGAATACTGTAAGTCACTTATCTTCTTCAGTGATACAGATCTTATAAAAAGTCATGATAATATCTATCTTTGTAAATCATTGAGCTTGTCTGATGCAAGTTAGAGTTTCATTAATAAGAGAT